GATCTGAACACATTGTGCTTGAGTAACAGTTACCAGACATTGAACTTTTCCCCTGCTACTGTATTTGTTACTGTTGCCGTTGTTTACAGACTACCAAGGACTCACTGGCTTACCCCCCTGTTTTGGGTACTCTGTCTCTTTAGAGAAGTGCTGTGTCTGGTGAATAGTTCATACCATTTGCATCTACTGGCAGGTTATGTCTTCGGTCAGGTTTTTCAAGGACAGCAATCACTTCATAAAGACCCGCTGACCCAAAACATCAGACCTACTTACTGGGGAGGGGGTAGGGAAGCTCATCCCAGCTTAGACTCTTGAAAGCTCAGATTAGCGGGAGAACTCATACTGGACACTGAAGCCCGTGTCCTTTCCGAAAGCTGCCCGATGCCAGGCTGTGGCGTGCACACCTGTTACCTCCACAAAATAATCTGCTCCCCTTAGAGGAAATGACCTCATTTAAGAGTCTTTGACTGGTTGGCTTAAAGGTAAATTTTAAACATTTTAGAAAGTAAGTGTGGCCGGGCGGTGGTGGCGCACGCCTTTAATCCCAGCACTCGGGAGGCAGAGGCAGGCGGATCTCTGTGAGTTCGAGACCAGCCTGGTCTACAAGAGCTAGTGCCAGGACAGGCTCCAAAGCCACAGAGAAACCCTGTCTCGAAAAACCAAAAAAAAAAAAAAAAAAAAAAGAAAGTGTGTGTGTGTGTGTGTGTGTGTGTGATTGTGTGTACGTGTGTGTTGGCTTTTAATTTTGTGATACTATAATTTTAGGCAAACAATATAAAATCTTCTATCTGAAACTTTTTTAAATATCCAATTCAGTACCGTTAAGTACATTCATATTGGTGTTCAACAGCTTTCCAGTGCTTTTGAATCCTGAATAAAAAAAAAAAGAAAGAAACTGTACCAATTAAACAGCCCCTGGGGTGGGGTGGCAACCATTGTCTTATTTTCTGTCTTGATGAGTGTGTCATAAAAGTATTACTTGTCCTTTTGTGACTGGCTTATTTCATTAGCAGAGTGTCCTAAAGGCTTATTCATGCTTTACTGTGTGTTGGAATTTGTTTTCTGTGTTATATGTGTGTCTCTCTGTGTGTGCGCACGTGCACGCGCGTGAGCACGTGCGTGTGTGTGTGTGTGCGTGTGTGTGTGAGTGTGTGTGTCCTTACATCTGTGTGCTTGTTCATGTGGAAGCCAGCTGTCATTCCTTAGGCTGTCCGCTTTGTTTCTGAGAGTCTCTGACTGGCCTGAAGCTCACTATGTAAGTGAAGCCAGGAAGCCCTGGGAATCCACCTGTCTTTGCCTCGCCAAAACCATAATTACATGCGTGTGCTAGCGCACCACTTTTTAACATGGTCTTGGGATCAAACTCAAATCCTTAAACTTTCAAGGCAGCACGATATCAACTGAGCTCCCAGAATTTGCTTCCTTTTTATAGCTGAGTATTATTATTTTATGATATTAATACTCCACATTCTATTTTCCTTTTTTATTTTTTATTGTTTTTATTGAGCTATCTATTATTTCTGCTCCCCCCTCTTCCTCTCTCCTCCCCTTCTACCCTTTCCCATGGTCCCCACACTCCCTATTTACTCAGGAGATCTTGTCCTCTTCTGCTTCCCTTATTTACCCTCTTAAACATCCTCTTACACAGGGGCTCTTCCATTTGTGAACACTGCTTCCATGAGCACAGACGTGTAATTGTTTCCTGGAGACCCCGGGAAATAAAACTGCTGCATCATGTGGTGATTCTGCTTTTTAATTTTTCTTTTGGTTTGCAGCACTGGTTTCCAGAGAGGTGGTGCCATTTCCCATTCCCGCCAACAGCACGTCATCTCTCATTCTTATCCTAATCTCTGGAAGGCATTTTGTAGTTACAAATTTGCTCTACTGTCTCAAAAGCAAAAACAAAGCAAGCCTTTCACTTCTGTTCATACACACAGATTCAAAATCTTACTGGCTATTTTTCCAAGATTTAAAAGGTTTAAAAGATATCTCAGGATATCTTGTTCATATAATAGTGAACACCAGGACATGGGAGACTCTTAGGATTGCTTCATACAGATTGAATTTAAATATTAAACATTCACAATAATGTTGGTTTCTCTCTACATGAGTGTGTTCATTTCTTGAAGGATTGCTTGGCAGCAACAGCACCTCACACATCTGTGATCACAGAGTCTACTTCCAATTTAGCCAGACAGGAACATAAATGAATGAAATCCTTATGCAGTATAGTAAGAAATTTGTGGAACTAGGGTGAACCAGAGACCAATCAACCTAGAAAATACTCTGTGTCCTACAACATACATTTCACCCTGGGAGCAGTGACTGATAAACAGTTGTAAAGAAATCAGTGCTTCTAAGTCTGATGATCCAAGACTGTAAGTCTAGCAAATGGAAAGGTTGGGCAGGAGGATCTGCCTGTGCAAGTTAGTAAAATCCTGTCTCAAGATAAGATGTGCAAACTAGGATATAACTCAGTGAGTTGTCTAACATGCACAGAGACCTGGGTTGATCTCCAGCACTTCATAAAACCAGGGCAAGAGGCTGAAGCAGGAGGGTTACCCATCCAGACCAAGCTGGAATACCTAGTAAGATTGTCTGGAAAGAAAACAACAAGCACAAAACCAAGAATTTGTTTAGATGGTAGCCCAGTGTCAAATGCTACATGGACCAGACCAAGTGAATAAACAAGAGAGCATTTTCTTCTAGTCTCTGGAGAAATGATTTCCTATCTTATTGTGGGCACACTGGCAGAACCGTGCGCCAACGCCTGCTCTTTTGGATTAAATACAACCACAGGGATAGAGGGGAAAGGGGAGTGAAAGGGAAATTACAGGTAAACAGTTGACCCAAATAGGTTATTGCATCAGTTGAACCTTTAAACTTAAAAAAGGTTTACCAAATCAATATTTACTTGATCTAAGTGTTATGCTGTGGTAATGACCCTTGGCCTTTTCCGGAGTCATCAGTGATGAGAGCATGGCTGTTGGTTTTTTAAATTCTCTATTCCCTGTGGTCTAACTGGACACAGGGATGGGGATGATGAGTGGGTGTGAGGTCTGGTGCAGTGTGTACTTTAGAGTAGGACCGTATCAGCTTGGATGTATGCAGAGACCCAGGGGCTGAGCCTTGCTTTAGCCAGCCACTGAACTGCCCTTAGATTTCAGCAACTGCCATAGCCAATGCCAATGTAGGGCTACAGAATCTCCTGTCCTGTGATCACACGACATCCCTGCCTGTTGTCACCCAACTCCTGCATTCTCTCATTGATCTGTAAGTAAGGACATGGTCTCCAGACTTAGACACCTGGCCTATCTCAATCACACTGTATTGGAATATTTCATAAGGACCTAAAAAGATGGGGCTAGAGGAAGGTGTCCATTAGGGAAAATTTTGAGTTCCTGCTACATGCCAATACCCAAAGTCCCTACCTTCTTGTAGCTTACATTCTACGGGTCTTTATACTGTGCCTCTCAGGTTCTGCCACATTGCGTTGTCCTCCAGGGTTAGACACAACTGAGATAGCAAGGAAATGAAGAAAAGATAGACACACACACGGAAATCACACAGTCAAGTGGAACAGGCTCTTTCGGAAAAACCCCCGCACCCTGGAAACTCAGCATGTTTATTAGGTAGAGTTGAACAGAGAGGCGGGGTATTACATATAGACAAGCCAGAAGGCAGGATTATTACATACAGACAAGGAGGCAGTGTTTGTGTTACACAGCGGGATCTAGGGGACTGGTGTAGCTAATCTCTGTGGGAGCGGTCTCTGCAGTGGGCTAGTCCTCAGGTGGTAAACATACCGAGGAAGGAAACTCGAGTGGACGTTGCTGCTTTTCCTACCAACACTCTCACTGTCTCCAGAGGAAGGCTTTGCCGACCTTTGAGCCTGAGGCTAATGGAATTCTTGACACAGTTGTGCGGATATCAACACCATACATTCCCTCAGGACTGTTTCCTCTCTCTCTGCACCCATCGACAGCAGTTGAGAAGTATAGGTGACGATTCTATGGGAAAATGTGAAATAATGCGTGAAACATATCAGATGCCGCTACCCTTTTCACCCATTTTGATCCCGTCAAACACATTCCTTCCGTGGATTAAGACAAAAATTGAATTACCCTAGTTTACTTCTAGGCATGAGACAAAGTCTCAGAAAACCCTTTGACCATAGGAGGTCCTTTGACCATAGGAGGTTCCTGATGTGACCAGTAGTCACTTTAAATAAAATCTGAACAAAATGAAATATAAGTGATGTGACCTGGAGGGCCAAGATATTTGCTCTGAGATAGTTTTTTTTTGTTTTTTTGTTGTTGTTGTTTTTTGGTTTTCGAGACAGGGTTTCTCCGTAGCTTTTGGTTCCTGCCCTGGAACTATCTCTTATAGACCAGGCTGGCCTCGAACTCACAGAGATCCGCCTGCCTCTGCCTCCCGAGTGCTGGGATTAAAGGCGTGTGCCACCACCGCCCAGCCCCCTGAGATAGTTTTGAATTCAGAAATATGTGAAGACTTGAGACTATTAGATATTTCAGAAGGTAGATTGGGAATGTGATGGCTAAACCATGAACTGTATACAGTGTTTCAGAAAGTACAATACAGTTGCACAAAAATCAGCAGGTTCTTTTTTGCAAAGAGCCTCATATTAAATCATGGAAGGATTTTACAGCCAGAAGAAATAGGATTTTAATGTATGGCAGCATTCTCGACATGATGCATTTCTAAATATTTTTCTTTATCTTTAAAGGTTGATTTACTACCTTGCTTGCCTGATAATTATCGCATTTCCTTTCTTTGGCCAGTTGTGGCTTTGAGCATTTTGACATTGAAAGGTTAAAATCTCATGCAGATGAAGTTTTAAAATTCCAATGCTTTTTCAGATATATTTTCAGTAGTGTCTTGATAACCTTCAAATGTCCTTTTATCAGCTGAGCGTTAGGTGGGCTGCCAAGAGTCTGGGCCCAGGAAGAAAAAAGTCTGCATTTGCTGGTTCTTTCCAGGTTATTTGGGGCAGAGCAGAGGCCAGATGTCTGATTTGGAGCACATTGTTTAATGGTGCCGAGCCTGAGTTTTATCATCTGCAGGTGAGTTGACGTGCTGAAAACTCAGTAACACACACACAGGTCAGGAGCCTAATGGACAGGAGGAACAGTGAAGACCCTCCACCTTTTCCAGTCTAGCCTTGCTGAAAAGTAAAACCAGCAAGAAAATTACCCTTTTCTCCCCATATAAGAATCTCAGATATGTATTCCTTTTATTTTTCTTTTCTTTCTCTCCCCTGCCTCACCCCCAAGTATCAGAGCTAAGGAAAACACTGTATCAGGTGCCACTGTGGACTTGGAGTTTCTCTGCTGCCGCTATACTGAGCTGGATGATGTAACCATTAGCTAACATTGGCCTCTCACCAAGCTATGGCGACAAGGTTCTTTCCTGAAGGCATGCTCTGGGTAGTATTTCGTCTCAGTTTAGAAGGCGTACGTCATAAGAGGACTATTTATCCGCAGAGAACTGCCTGTGCTTTGCCTTCTGGGCTGTGGGAATTAGCACTTTGGCCATCCTGAGCCCTCCGTGTTTCCTCAAGCTAGTGCCCATCCTGGGAGACATAGAAGTTCAGACTGCAAGTTTGCCTCTTGAGATGGTGCAGGGTACCCCAAGACTTCACCCACTGCAGCAAAATACAAGGGTTGCAAGAAAGAGGGGGACGGGAGAGGTTGTATTCACTGTTGGTTCCCCTGTATTGTTTCTAAAATGCTGATGCACATTAGAGCCTATTGCGGGCAGTCAGACAGAGTGGATTCTGTGTCCTAACTTGGTATCTGGTTTGTCAAGGTGCTAAAACAAATGATCATAGATTGGGGGCTCAAACCACAGACATTCATTTTCAATTCTGGAGGTTGAGAGTTCTGGGTGTCAGGATGATGGGGCTCTGGTGGGGGCTCTTGGCTTACATATGCTTCCTCCTCTCTGTGTTTCCATGGTGGAGGGAGAGTGTCAGCTCCAGGACTTACTAAAGACACACTGCATTATGGGGGATGGGAGAAATTCATTCACATGTCTCATTTAGCCCTCATTACCCCCAAACACCATCACACTGCATTATAAAAGTCAGGTGAATTTTGAGGATGCAGTCCATCCATAACACTTAGGTGGAACTTATCTCCCTGGGCTTTGGTTTTGTCAACAATATGATAGCAACTACAGTATAGAGTAGTTTTCGTATTGTCCTTAGGGTCCCCAAAGTCAGTGCTTCTTGATGAAGGTTGTTTGCATGGCCACACTAATGCGTTGGTCTGTATTTATAAACCTGTCTTCTGCTATGAATCTCTTAGAACTCTCTTAGGTTTTAAAGCAATGGCTAAGTTCTTTGTAGCCTTATCAAAGTCTCTCTTCTGTGTTCCTGCCCCGTCCCCCGAGCTCCATCCATCTAGGTCAGCCTTCACCCAAGGTGTGTGCTTGCTGACACCATCCCTGCCATGAACTTTGCCTCACATCCTCCAGACTCTTTCTTTTTTAGTTTTGCTGCTCTGCCTTGTCCCACTCATTCACATAAAGATGGCACGTGTCTTAAAAATGGTGAAGAAAAGAGTTTCTTTAGTTCTTCTGAACCAGAACAGGCGGTTTCTCATGCCATTACCCAGAAAGCTCAGCTTGCTTATTCTCTGCTATCTCTTCCCCATAAACCCTTCCAGATTGACACACAAGAGCCCCGTGGTTCTTTTGTAAGCCCTGGTTCATTTCCTCCCTGGAGGACATGATGAATTGAAATGTCTGTCCTTCTAACAGTAAACTTGGAGACTATATGTGTGTGTGTATATATATATATATATATATATATATATATATATATATGTGTGTGTGTGTGTGTGTGTATGAAAGAATATATATTCTTTCAAAAAATCATATTAATATATATGTTTTTTGAAAGAATTTGTGATTATCATGACATTAACATACTAAAGCTATAATATATTTAATTTTATGATACTTAGGTACTGTTGGATACCTCTTTTGGACATCAGGAAAGCCTCATGGAGAAATTAGGGTTTGAGAAATATAAGTCAAAGAATAAAAGGGTGTATGTATATAAGTAGAGATGAGTGTTGACTCACCCAATCCTCAGAGAGGTTAAGCGCTGATATACAGACTGGAGCGGAGACTGAATGCCAGGACGAGTTTATCCGTGGGCGCTCACTGAGGTGTTTGAATTGCATCAGTGAACAACTGGGGTTTCTGGGAGCTGAGGGTCCTGGGGTGAACTCTAAATTGAAGGATTGCAGCTCCAGGGGTACCCATGAACAACAGCAATAGTGGTATTTTCCTATGTGTAAATCTTTAAGAAAGAGGATATATATTTTTCAAAGGAGTCGCTGGTTTGCTACACTATTGTTGACCTGTGAACACAGAACTACTGTATAAAATTTGTAAAGTATCTGAAAAAGCTGGTCTTTCCTGCTATCTGCCCTGAGATAATTTAATGTGTTGCTGTAGCGCTGAGGTATTCGAGGTTGAAATGACCTTTTGTAAACCTGTCCTGGACTGAGCATATTTTTTAGGTTTGATTTTGAAAGAAAACCCAGTACCATAATGATATTTGTTCTTTCAGATTTGTTGATAGTATTGATTAGGCTAACATATGCAAGGTAACTATAATTCTCTTACTAATTCTATTCTCTTTTTTCCTTGAGCCTTTTAGAATACTTGCCATTTAGAAAGAAATACACTTAAAATATGAAGTTGTATATTTTGGTAGAAGGAGGACAAAGAAGTATTTATATTTCAGAAGAAAATGGAGGGAAATACTTGTAGGGGTTAGGCAATGCTAAGTGTACTTTGTGTTTTTCCCATGTAAGAAAAACAAAGGCGCTTGTGAATGACCTGTATTCCTTCTTTGTGACTGATGGTAGGGGAACAGTGTGTGTCTGTAGGAAATTTGCATCAGGTTGGTTTGGCAGGACATTGATAGCTCCTTTAGGCAGAGTTTCTATGTTGGTAGTTTGATTGGCGCCCCTAAGTAAAGAGTGTATTGGTAGAATCTGCTCTTCCAGCCCCATTAGGCCCCATCTCCACCATTTAGTGCCTCAGACACTCTTCCCTAGTCAGAGCACACAGTGAAGACAGCCATACAGAGACTTGGCTCAGGGTGAGGCAGTAGCCCCAGAGAGGGGTTCTGCAAGGGAAGGAGCCATGGCTCAGGGCTCCAGCCTCCTTTCAGCTCTCTGGCAGTGACTCTCTCATTAGCATGGGGTACTGGGATCTACTTGGCTCAGGAGGGAAGCTCAAGAGAAGCCTTGAAGAAAACCCAGCTCTTGTGTCCATGCCCAGAATGATGTGTTACTGGCACACATCTTCCTTCGCACAAGGAAGAAATCAAACCCAAATGTGGAGGCCGGCTGCCTTCGCTCTCCTGTTCAAGTGTTCTCTTCAGCACCTCTCATGGCAAAGCGCCGCCCTAAGGCCGGGCTTAAGGAATTGTGTTTGGAATGGTTTTTAAATCCTTCCAGTTCTCCTCTGCCTCAGCGCATGTGCCGTGGTGTGTGCAAATACAGTCAATCAATTCATTATGTTGGAATTGAGATTGCAAAGACTTACAAACCAGTAGGAATGCCTTATTAATTATAGCATTGGCTACAGAAACTCAGCTTCAGACAGGAAAGGGAATTAATTGTCTGGGCTATATCCAGGACCATAAGGGTTAAATGTGTTCAGCCACAGAAGAGAGCAACAAAGGTGGCTTGGAGTTTGCAAGTACCGTGTGTCCTTGGCTGTGCTACCCAGGTAAGTGACAAAGAAGAGATTGGGCAGAACGGTCATGACATTTTATCATGTGCCTTGTGTGACGTAAAAGAGAATTCTGTTTGTCCCAGGTGTCTACTTCCCAGTTTTAACCCAGGAATCTCCATGAACCCCTGAAGTGAAGAGCAGAGTCCCAGTGCCTCTGAGGGCACGGTGGCCGCTGGACTAGTACTAGCTAATGTCTTGTAAGGTACGGTCGCCTTTGCGACTTCCAGGAGGGGCCTGTCTCACCCTTTTCCGTGTCCAGATGATGGGAATGCAGACAGGGCTGCAGTCTGAAGAGCTCTGCGGACCATGAGGTTAATTTAAGGCTGAGTTGACAGGGGACAAGCTGTAAGGGGCTGGTGTCTCTGCTCTGCAGACCTCGGGCAGATGACCTGTGGGCCTGCATGACAGTGAAGTGAGCCCCTAGCTCAGATCCTGCTTTCCGGGGTTTTCTGTCATTGATACTGGAACACACTCCTAACACAGGAACTTTGTGGTAGAACTGAAGACAGGAAAGGGCTGAGTTTTCAATATAGGAGAATTTCAAAATCGTGAATAATGTTAAGACCAAAATGCATTGGCAAGCTCTTGGATGAAGATAAAACACTCAATACAGTGTTTCTAGGAGTTTATACTGAGTTCTTCTTGCATAAGAGCAGAACATTTGAAAGGTTGGAGGCTATTTTTTCTTTTTCTTTTTTTTTTGAGAGGCCTGAAATTCTATGAAAGCTGTGAACTGTATTCTGAATTTCCTGAGTTTATGTGTAAGTTTCCAGATGTTTGGGAGTTGTCTGATTAATAATTTCCTTGGAAATTTTTTTCCCAGCTTAAGGGAATGTGCAAGTTTTAAAGTGTTTATCCTGGGTTGAGATATATGTGGATTCTGCAGCTCCGGCTGAAACTTTATATGTCAGAACAATGTGATGCTTTGTTCATTTGTTTATTGTCTGTGTCCATGCTTACATCGCATTTCGGTCAGCACCTGGCTTTGTCCACCCTCCTTTCCTCAGTCTGTGTGTGGCAGGTGCATAGGAAACTGATAGAGTTTAGAAGTAGATTTAGTTAAGTGACCGATCCACATCGTGTGTAGTACTGACTGCTATATGTGTGTTCGGAATTTTTAAATTTTTATTTTTAACATCCATAACTGAAGAAAGTAAGTTGAAGCCTGCCATTATTATTATTATTATTATTATTATTATTATTATTGGTCAATTTGTCTCTAGTTGTTCGTTTTCTCTTCATGTATGTTGAAGCTGTTTTTTGTTTTGTTTTGGTTTTTTTTTTCGGGGGGGTGGATTTCAAG